AGCATAACCAATGGACATAAGACACTGGGGAATAGGGGAGGCTAGGGGACTGTCGGGGGGGGGGGGGGGGAGAGAACACATATGTAATACCCTTTGTAATACTTTAAGCAATAACAAACAAACAAACAAACAAACAAACAAACAAACAAAAACACCTGAGCTTATCTTGTTTATCACAGGACCCTTTCAAGCCTACACCTTTTCCATGTATTTGGTGTATTGTAACTAGATGCCTTTTCTGTAAATGATGTCAACAGATGTCCATGCCCACATCTCTGGAACCTCTGAATATGTTCTATTTCATGGCAAAATGAACTTGTAATATGTAGTTCAGGTTATGAACCTTAAAAGATTATCTGGGTGGGGCCAATCTAATTACATGAGTCCTTAAAATCAGAGAACTTTCTCCACTGAAGTCAGACATGTGGCAGAAGTGTAGGTCAGAGAGATTAAAATGTGAGAAGGACTTGGCCTGACATTGTTGGCTCAAAGATGGAGGGGGCCAGAGCCCCAGTCCTACAACCATGCTGGGAAGGAAAAATTATCCTTCACCTTAATGGTGACTACATTAATAATCAAATTAACGTGACAGATTAGCAGGAGAAAACAAATAAAGTTTAATAACATGCATACCTCCTGTATACATGAGAGAGACCAAAGAACACTGAGTTAATTCACCAAAATGGCGGAGTCCATCCCTTGTAATACCACCATCAGCCAAAGACAAAGATGTTGGCCATGGAGAGTCAGTTATGGGAGGTCACCAGAAAGAGCACAGTGAACAAGAATAAGGTTGTCATGCAGATTTCAGTCCAGGGCCTTCTTCATTGAGAGTGAAGGTAGGCCTGGTACAGTGAGACAAAACCCTTAAAGACCAGGGATGTCTCTTACACTTATTTATGCATTCATTGGTGGATTCTTATATGTGCCCTGACCGGGGATAGAGCCCTGTAAACTTGTTATATCAGAACAATACTTAACCAACTGAGCTACTTGGCCAACTAGGGCTCTTGAGTCTTTTTATAACAAGCAGGTGATCTAGTAAGTAAGTAACGTGTTTCTCTGAGTTCAGTGAGCCTCTCTAGCAAATTAACTGGAGGTCACTGGTGGCAAGAGAAAAAATTCTGGGATGTTTAAGTTAAAACTCCAGCACCAGAGAATGAAAGAGACACAACAGTTAGCCTGTTAATTGCTGTATGACAAAAGACTGCTCACATTTTTGGGTGTCTGTTGGAATTTAGGATTAATTTCCAGGTGGCTATCTCTGTGATCATCCAAGAGAATTAATTTCGGGGTGCCATTGAAGCCCAAGAGCCTCCACTTCTTGTTGCACATGAACTTTGTGGACTCTGTTGCACCCGTCCCAGAACTAGCCCCACCCCACCTTCCCCCATTCCCTTTATCTATAGCTAAAGTAAATTCTTTCAGAATGGCTTACAGCTTTCTCCTCCATTTTGATGTATAAAAACACTGGCAAAACTCCTGAACATCAGATATGTTATCTTTTCTACCTACCCATGCAGTGTTTTATTTTTTATAATGTTTTTTCTTTATTGATTAAGGTATTACATGTGTCCTTATTGCCCCACTGCCCCCCCTGCCCCCACTCATGCCCTCACTCCCCTGTTGTCTGTGTCCATTGGTTAGGCTTATATGCATGCATACAAGTCCTGACCCCATGCAGTGGTTTAGACTCCATGCCCCACAACCAGTATTCTTTTTTTGCTAGAAATGGCCCAATAAACCCCTTCTTTTAAAAAACTCAGCTAGGAAAGTTAGAAGTTTTTTTTTTAAAGATTTTTTTTATTGATTTTTAGAGAGAGAGGAAGGGAGAGGAAGAGAAACATTGATGTGAGAAGGAAACATTGATGGGTTGACTGCTTCCTACACGCCCCCTACTGGGGATCGAACCTAAAACCTGAGCCCAAAACTGGGGTATATGCTCTGTCTGGGAATCGAACCAGCCACCTTTCACGGGGTTGATGCCTAACCAACTGAGCCGCACCGGCCAGGGTGGAAGTTAAAAGTTTTTTGTTTAATCCTGGAACTTAGTCAATCAGAGGCACAGGTAACAACCTGGAAGTTGTCAAGGAAGGAGCAATTGGAATTTCCAATCTACAGCCGTTGGTTGGAAGTACAGTTAACAGTCTGGGCTTTCGGCTGGGGTCTGAAGTAAAGAGTGGTGGTGGAGTAGGACTGAATCCTTAACCTGTGGAATCTGATGCAAAATCCAGGCAGTAGGTTCAGAATCGTGTTGAATTGAGCCCAATTCTTGGATATCCTGCTGGTGTCTGAGAATTGCTTGGTATTTTGTGGGAAGCACCCTTCCCCCGCCCCCACACACATTGGAATTGGATCCAGGAACTCCAAAGAACTGTCATTCATCCCTGGACTCTATCTGCAGATTCTTCTATGTGAGACAGAAATAATCTACTTTGCTTAAGACATTTTTATTTTGGGCTTCACTGTTGCTGTAATATCATTATAATTAGTATGGTAATACAGAGGCTCCCTTTCCTGAGAGATAAAGGATCAAGTTTGAGCAGTGAGCAGTTATCTTTTGGACACTTGACTAATTCTTTATCTTGTAAAACACTATTGGACTTTCTTTCTTTCTAGTTGTAATACATGACCAGATGGTGCCAATCAGTCTCTTTCATTCTTGGTACACTTCCAACCTTTTTCTGGAATTACTCATAGCTCTCTATACACACCCCTCCCTTATACAGATAAAGAAAAGTAAATGTACCTTATGAATAGTTAAAATACATATTACATTTATACTCTTCTACTTATCAAAACAAACTAAAAATATCCTATTATATTCATTCTTCACTTCATAGTGACTTTTTCCTTTAGGAATATCACTATGGAAAGTCATAAATTTAAAAAATTCACCTTGTTCTAATTAACTATGTTATTTTTCTTTTGATTATCCAATTGTCACAGAATGCCAGGTGTTTTTAAAAACTGGTTCCTTTACCTTCTCAGCTTTATTCTATACATCCTTGCTTATTGTCTTCAACAACATGTTCCAGGCCTATAGTTATTTGAGATAAGAAGCTATTTTCTAAGTAACCCTGAGTCCTTTTAAAGGTGAGTAATATTTGAAGCAAAGATCCAGGTGCTAAGAATGCATATCAGATTTTTTTCCTAATGTTGTTTCTATGCTATCTTAGTAATAAAATTGGAAAAAATTATGTCCTTTGAAAACCACACATTCACATTGGTACTTCCTATTTAACTCAAGCATTACTAAATTTTTTTGACTCTTACATACAGTTTTCCTTTTTTAAAAAAGAATATGTTTTTATTGATTTGAGAGAGAGAGGAAGGGAGAGGATGAAAGAGAGAGAGGGAAACATTGATGAGAGAGAAACATCAATTGGCTGCTTCTTGCAAGCCCCCCACCAGGGATCAAGCCCACAACTCTGGCATGTGCCATGACTGGGAATAGAACAGGCAACTTTTTGGAGCATGGGTGATGCTCAACCAACTGAGCCATGCTGGCCAGGGCATAGTTTTATACTTATTTTCTCTATAACATACCTGCTTGTATCCTGGAGTCTCTAATCCAAACTGTAATGGCATCTTTTATCTTTAGTGATCTTATAGTGTCTCATCAACTATCATTCTCTAGTTACTTTATTGATAGAGTCATCCATGCTGGACCAATTGGACAGCCAGGTAAGAGAGTGTCTAATAATGGCAGGAGAGTGGTTGAAGGGATGCATCATTGAAACCAAGGAAATAGGAAGTTTAAAAGGAGGCTAAGATAGCACAGATCAGGGGAAAGAAGAGAGGTTGTGGGATATTCCACAACAGGTTTGGTGAAGGTATTTGATAGAGCTGGGAGGAAGGAGGTGGTGGCTAGAACATGGAGTGATTGAACTTTAGACTACAAAGGTTGAGCACTTGTAAAAGATTGCTATGGTCATTGCTGTGTTCCATGCCCGGAGATCTATACTTGTCCACAGGTGACCTTCTACCCCCACCAACAGCTGCCCAAGGAAGCACTGTATACCTGCTCTCAGCCAGAGCAAACACACACACACACACACACACACCCATGACTCAGGTGGGGAGGTGAGGGCCAGAGTCCATTTGGGACCTGTACAGATGAACACCCAGGTTCGCTGCCTGCTGGCTGCCCCAGTGTGCATGGAAAATGTGTACCTTGTTCAGGCTGGTCACATGTCCCATTCCTGTCCTACCAGCCACAGGCTCTGGGCTCCTCAGTGGCCCTCCCCACAATGATACTGGTGGCTGAGCCTCCTGCCCTGGTCCATATGGTGCTGGCTCAGCTCCTGACTGTTGGCAGAAATCCGGGATGCTGGCACACCTCACAGGAAGGAGCCTGTAGGGTATGATGAGGCCGGTCCATCTGGGCCCTTGTGGGGGCCTGTCAGGTTCACCTGTGCCACCTGTTTCCAAGTAGCACTGAGCTAGAGGCTGTGGGTGGGGTGGGGGAAGGAGCAGCAAAGTCTGCAAAGTATCGCAGGACTTTTTACCTGCCAAATCCTGCCCTGATCCTAAGGTCGCAGACAGAGAGATGCAGTGAGAGGTTGTGAGGGCATGTGAGGAGGAGGAGGGAGGTTAGAGGGGCTTGTCCCTAGATATAGCTCTACTCATCACCTTGGGTGTTTGGCAGAAGATCCCATGCAAGAAGGTGGAATTCAGGCAGCCAGAGGGAGCCTTTCTCCTGCCCCAAAGATGTTGCTTCTGGGGCAGGGGAGGGCAGAGGATAGAGGTCAGGGGCTGGATTCCCATTCTTGAAAGGCTTGAGCCCTCAGAGTGGGAAGATGAGGAAGCCAGAGAAGCTTGAATATTTCCAGCCACCCAGCAGGTTCCCCCGACGAAGGCGCAGAGACACCCGGTCCCCGGGGTCCAGGGGCAGTAGCACAGAGCTGGTGGCTGCCTCCCGGGTCACATCAGGGTCATTGGCAAAGGCTGAGATGACAGGCCATGTGTTCAGCATCAGGCTCACCTGGGAAGGGAGACCAGTTAGCGTCTCTACCCAGCCCTTGTCCTAGGACCCCACTTTTCTGAGGGCTACTCCTCTTCTCCCAGCCCCAGAGGGACACTCTAGAACCTGGGAATCGGAGGCTCAGTGCCATCTCCTGGGAGAGCTGAGGGGTAGCCAGTGTTACACTCTGAAGATCCCCCACTCTCTGGGAGGCCCTGGCACAGGCCAATGGAGTCTGCCCAGGAGTCAGCTGGGCTCCACTTATTCCTCCTCCCACCCGAGTTTGGACAACGACAGGGCCCAATGTTCAGGTCACCTGGACGGTTTGGCGGTTGTACACCTTCACCACGTGGAACCTGAAGCTGTAGACACCTCGGACAGGGGCCACGAAGGAACCTGAGGCGCGATCAAAGCCACCGCCCTCATTCACCAAGACCTGGGGAAGCAGACCCTGCTGAGTGGTCTGGAGAACGCCCCAAAAGCAGACCCTGCTGAGTGGTCTGGAGAACGCCCCGGGGCTCAGGGAAACTACTGGGTTGAGGGACGGGGCAGTGAATAAGGAAAATAGGGAGTTGCAAGTAGTTGCCCACAGGAGGAATGCACAGATTCAAAATAAAATAGTGAGAAAGGGCAAGGAGGTGAAGGGGTAAGAGTGAAGGGAAAGAAGATGGGCAGAGGGGCAGAGGGGCAATTGGCCATAGCAGGGCTGTCTTTTTAGCAGCAGAGTGGGCTTGCATTGATTCCAGGTCCTTGCAGGTAGGGGGTTACCTGGTCAAAATAGATGGCCCCATTGGTGCCGTTGCCCGTCTCCCCTGCTGGCTCATGGTGGTGGCTTCGAACTGCAGCAAATGCCACTCTTCCGGGCGGCGCTTCTCCCAGAGCTGCTCCTCCAGGCCCCCCTGCAGCAGCCCTGCCGGGCTCACAGACCACCAGGCACTCGCCCTCCAGGAGAACAGGCTCCGACCCTTCCTGGGCCCATCCGGTCCCCAGGGCCAGAAGCGTCAGGGCCAAGGGCAACCAGGGGTTGGGGGCAAGACCTGGTAGCCAGAGTCGCTTTGCTCCCAGCATGGCTGAGTGGCTGTGACCCACAAGTCCTGTCTTCTTGCTACTCCTTTTAGTTTCTACTCTTCCCCCAGACTCTCAACAGCCCTCACCCTACTCCTTAGCCCTCTCTCTGCGTCTCACTGTCACCTGGTCTCAGCATCTCCCTCTCCATACCACTCCGTGCCCCACAACTCTGTCCTGCCTCTCACTCCTGCTGTCACTGCAGTTCCCTCCTCCTTGGCAGGACACAACATGACAGCAGTTGGGCTCTGGGAGGGAGAGGAGAGAGGAAGCAGCCAGACAGGACGGCTACAGCCAGAACCCCAGGGCAGCCTCTCCAGAGAGCACTGAAGACTGGAACTGGGACGACAGAGAACGTACGTGTGAGTGAGTGTGTGTGTGTGTGTGTGTGTGTGTGTGTGTGCGCGCGCGCGCATATGTGCAAGAGGCGGCTCCTCCGGTCCCTCCTCCTCCTCATTCCTCCCCTCTTCAAAGTCCCTCACAGCACTCTCAGCGGCACCTTTGCCATTGTTAGGCAGGAAAGCCCTGGTCTTTTTCCCACAATTGTTTTGGTGGAAAAGTACTTGGGCCCACAGTGTCACTCGGCCAGTCTTTTCCTCCTTGGCCTTCCAATAGCTTCACCTGCAGGGCCTGAATTCTTCCCTTTAAAACTCTCTTCACCTCTGACTCTCAATGAGCGGTGCCGCTTTCCTGAAACTACGGAAAACAGCAAGAACCAGAGGGATCAGCAGTGACTGCGGGGAGCCCCAGGG